ATTATCTGTACCATTATACCTAGACATGCAGACACAACAAGAGGCCAAGAGGAACGTAAACACACAGTGGGCGTACAGACACACACACTCTCACACACATGAGTGTGTGTTTGCACATTCTCACATTTAACATACGTATAAATACTTAATGTGTGTATAGTATAGTATAATAAAATTAACTAATTATTTTATATAAAAAGCATACAAAGTCTAAGCCAGTTTGTAATATGCCCATCCTCCTCTGGTTGGTGTTTGTTTGTGGTGTTTCGGTTTCAGTTTCTGCTTCTGCCTCTGCTTCTGATTCGTTCTATGAGCCGGCTGTGGGCTTAGGTGAAGCTGCAGCAGGAATTGGTCTTTTTCGCTGTTTTGTAGAAGGCCTTGCTCTGCATGGATAGTTGCTCGGATTTGGTGACCATGTCCTCCAGTTTCTCGCCGCGCTCCAGCACCGATTCAATTGTGTTCTTCAAAATGATTTTCGTTTCGTCCAGGTCGGTTTGCATTTTCGTCAGTGGATCAGCTTCCTTGGGATCCTGGTATTTGACCAGAAACGCAGGCAGCGAATCGAAAGCAATGCTCGATTCGGTCCCGGTCTGCCATTGGTCGGCCGACACCTTCGCCGAGAAATCATCCAATATCTTTGTGATCAACGTGTGGGCTACACGGTGCGGATACTCGTGATCGGCGATAAGAACGCCAGCCAAGTTGTCCGCCCGCACATAGACATGGCACATATAGGCGTCCTGTTTGACGGACTGTCGCAGCGCCGGCTGGGTGCGTTCCACAATAGTCTTCGACGCGAAGCTGCGAGATGCACAAACATATGTGATAAATGGGCCAAATTATAGGTCAGCGATGGGGCTAATTGCGCCGTCGCCGTAGAAAACCGAGCCGAAACTCGAATACTCGAATACTTGAATACTCACGTCATGAACTCATTGACTGTGCCACGTTGAAAAAACGAGAAGGACTGCAAGTCCGAGGTTGTCTTCAATAGGCGCGCTTCGCTGGCACCCTTGTAGAAAACACTCAGTGTGAATAGCCTGACCATATTTTACGATTTATATGCGAGCTGCAAAACTTCACGTCCAATTGGTTACACTTGACTCAAAGTACAGGCCTGTTAATGTCTGCAAATATTTTGTTGATTTAATTTGTGTGGAAAGGTGGGCTTCAGTTCCGTTTGCTTTGTTACTGATATATTTTTCGAATTCTATTAATTTGTTTAATGCGCGTCTTCGTTTAGTTTACGAGTAAGACACAGCTAGTTTAACATATACATATATACATATATCGATAACAATGCTCATTAAAAAAGTAAACGACGACGTGTAATCAAAGCGATACTTTGATATCGATATAAGCTGGCACTGTTGCGCTCGTTGAATCACTATGGTTAGTGGTTTAACTGCGCTTAAATATATATATATTTTTCCCTCTTATAATCCGCGTATATTTTAAAAGCGAAAAATACGATGGCTTTCCTTTTACAATACGCAATCACAATAAAACAATCAATATATACAGGAAACTGTACATTATTTAAACTTTATAAGCAAATATTTATTTAAACATATTTGGTTTCTAAGCCTACTAAAGATAGTAACAATCAAAACACTATTAATTTGGTGTGCCCCCAATGCTGACGGGCGCGTTAGTTGACTCCTTTTGCTTTAAACTCTTTTCAAAGCGCTCGAATTCCTTGTTTGCCACTTTGTCAGCTTCGTCAAACACCTGCTCTACGGACTCGACCTCGGGTATATAGAATTGAAGCATGTTTTGAACGCCATTCTTGAGTGTTACGATCGAGCTGGGGCAGGAGGAGCACGATCCCTGCATTTTCAACTTGACAACGCCGTTCTCGTAACCCATGAAGACAATATCGCCGCCATCCTCCTGTACTGTTGGCCGGATGCGTGTGTCGAGCAGCTCTTTAATCATCATAACCGTCTCATCGTCGTCCTCCAGAATCTCGGTATCTGCATTCGCCCGCGCCTCGTGCAGTATGGGCAAGCCGCTGGCAAAGAAATCCATGATGATTGCAAATACTTCAGGCTTTATAAGGCCCCATTCTCCAGATTCTTCCTTGGATATAGTAATAAAGTCGCCGCCAAAGAATACAGCACGAACACCTTCCACACGGAACAGTAGCTTAGCTAAAAGCAAACGAGTTTTAATGATGAACGATAATATATAAGGCGAGGCTCACCCAACGGACTACAATGAGCTGCCGCGCCACTGGGGAAATCGTATGTATTTCCTTTTCCCAGTACTTCCACGCCGGGCAAGAACTTCAAGCTGTCCGGATTCGGTGTATCCTGAGTCTGAATGAACATGCTGCGCTTTGCCATGTGGCCCAGCACCGGAACTGCCACTCCAGCTGGCCGGAGCACCGGCTGATTAGTTGGCCCGATGGCCAGAGTCGAATATGTGTTACGTGCGGCTGCCGATGCGCCCACCTGAACGAAGTCCCAGGTTACATGCTGACAACTAAATGCGATATTGTGAGCTTCTTTTGTGAATTCGATAAAACAATATTCGTACGTACATTGGGTTAGCAACAAGGCGTGTATTACGCAAAGTGTGCTTGGTAGCGTATGAAATTAATTTCGACATTGCGCACTAATTTATTTGTTATAATTTCTATAGATGTGTCTGCTCTCTTATGTACTAACAATGATCAGCTGTTGGGCTCAATGTTGCCAGATGGCTGAAAATGTAACTCGATAGTTAAACCATTGTTGACTACTATCGATTACATGAATTCTTGGACTAACGTATTCAACTCGACTAGTAATAATTCAAATAACGCAGACAAATCGAAAGTTTTCTTTTTTTTTTATTTATTTATTCATTAAGAAAAAAATAGTAATAAAACTACATACATATGTATTTATGCTATATTTATAAACACCCCATGTAGTACGTCCGATGTGAGCATATATTTTACGATAATGTCGAAGTGTTGAAATATAATTTAAGCAATTAACAAGCAAGAGCGTTACGATCGGATCCAACCGAGCTCGAAAACATACTGATAGACATACTGATTTTGTTTCTCTTGATATTATAAAGCTCGCCAAACTTTTACTCTGGCTTTGGGTTTATAATTGGCGTAACTAGAAATCTCACAAATTTGGTTGGTTCTACTCCTAAACTGCTGTATTTTGCCGAGTCTGCAGTCGAACTACGATCATACCGGATGGACGACAGCGAGATATTCAAATTACAGGAAAACAATATACTCTAATCCCATTGCGAGCGGGTATAAATAGTAGCCACATATTACATAATTACACTTCTAAGATTCGGCTAACATACATATGCATATACATAAATACATACATATGCATATACTATCTAATACTCCTCATATATGAAATTTGTGTTGAACAATGAGTTGCATACATTGACAGCCACATTCCGCCGTGCAATCTTCTTGGATCGGCCGGTGGCGGTGAACTCCTGATTGTCCACGATGACTCCCAGCCGCTGCAGCACATTTGGCTTCTCGCCGATAGAGCCGTAGTCCACATACGACAGACCCGGGCGCATCTGTGGATGATAATTACAGGGTATATGAAAAATCGGCTATTGCAATTGTAACCGGATTAGGCCACTTACCACGCATAACAATGTGGCTGGATGCATACTCTCCCAGTTGAGGGGCAATTCGGTGCGCACGGGCGGCTTCTTCGGCTCCTTTGGGGTGACGACAGCTGCCGCGGCATTCGGCGAGCTGGCATCGGCTTGCGGTGCCGATGTGTTTGTGGACGATGGATGCATCTCGGGCACAATGTAGCCTTCGCGCTCCCACTCGGCGAACAGCTTGTAGATGGCAAAGGAGGCCAGGTTTAGCATCGGCACTTCATCCTCCGGCGGATTCTCATTATTCTCCGTGTCCATGGGCTCATTTTCGTCCTCGCTCTTCATGTCGGACTCCGCAGACGTCTTTGTCGCCGGCTTCTTCGGCTTCGGCGTCATTTTGGCAATGATGTAATCGCGCAGGGCCTTCTCGCACGCTAAGTTCTTGGCGGCCATCTTGGAAGGGCCCTTGCCCTCGTACTGCCTGGTGTTGACGGTGACGATGGCCGTGAAGCCGCCATCCGGATTGCTGTTGATGGTAAAGTCACTAATATTAATGCCCTTCACCTCATTGAGGGCCATTAGCGCGTTCTTGGGCAACATGGACTTGCGCAGCTGCCGGTTTTGCCGCAATTTCTTATCGCGAGTGCGTTCTACAAATAAATCAATTAAAGTCAATTCAATTAACTCGATTTGATGGGCGATTTCAGCTCCTACCCGATGACTTCTTGCGCTTTTGGAATATTTTCTTAAATGGTATTTTGCCGCCATTGTCGGATTCCATGGCGTTGTTTTCGTTGGCGGAGCTCGTCTCGATGGCCTCGCTGCCGTCGCTGACACTAGCCATGGGCTCCTCCTTGATTGGCATTGGCACGGTCAACGACTCCTGAATCTCTGCCGGCTGCGGCTTGGCTGGCATAGCCATCGCGGCCGCCTGTTGAGCGGCGGAAACATTTGGATTCTAAACGAAAAGATCGATCATTATTAAGCGAACAGCAGTGCAGAGTATATACATATGTACATATATATATTTGTTTTTTCTTGCTTTTTTTCATTTAATAAAAGAACATATTTGCAATTTGCCCTAAGCTAGCAGATACTTCGTTTAATTACATTTACGAAAAAAATAAATTAATATTATTTTTTGTTTACATCTTACGATCGGTAGATAAATTTGTGCGCTAATTCATATAATTTATATATACATATATAGTTTCGATAATTGAATTAATTCAGCAGGCTTTTTAATTAATGAAATAAAAAAACATTTTAACACGAAATATTTTTGTTGATTTTTAGACGAATTTTTAATAGTTCTAGCATTATTATCTCTAGATACTTTTTTAATTTTTTTCCATTAATATATATAAATATATGAATAGCAGAAAATTATTAAATGAAAAAAAGAAAAGAAAAGAAAATGTAAATTAGAATCAATAAGATTACGGTTATGGAGTGCCACGCCTATGGCTCAAGCTTAAAGGCAAAGGTCGGACAACTGTGCCGCCCCTTTGCGCATTATGTATGTATGTATACCAATGTCTCGAAATGTCTTACATGCCATTCAAGGGATCTACTAACTGCGTGGGCGTTGGCTTGAATCGCAGCAGGTGTACCGGCGGTTTCTACTAAAAACCATAGTTCAGGAATAGCCATGACCACTCCTACGACCCAAAGTGCCCAAACGAATCATGCAGACGCGCTGCACCAACGAAACCATGAGCCAACCCATCGATGGTTTGCGTCAATCACATAATCACGTTTAACCAAACCCCTGGCGCCTGGCAGCAGCTGACCCAGCTGACCGCCGTCAGCCCGGTAAGCTGGCCAGGCCAGGCCAGGCTTTGATCATCTCGAATTGGCGTTCTTGTGCTTCGTTTGGGTACTCAAGTGAAGTAAATGAGCATCGCTATCTAACGCAAAACTAATAATTTTAGTTACAATTTTGGATGAATTGATTTTCAGCAGCAACAAAAGTAACTAAAATAGCAAGTCCAGCTGTTTCCTCTCTCTCTCTCGCTCTTTCTCTCTCTCTCTCTCGCTTTCCCTTACTCTGTCCTTTTCTTTTTCATAAATAGTACAACACTCGGTCTCGTTCGTGTGTGTGTGTCTGTCCCGGCATGTGTGTGTATTTAGTTTCAAAAATAAAAAATTAAATAAATAAAACTTTCAGGGCTGGACGAAAACTCTTGGCACTTGCTATTAAAGAAACTTTTATTGGCTACTGCAAATGAATTCACAATTGGTTTGAGACACACATTTTCAATTTGTGCGCTGTAAATTATATAAATAAAAATAGAATTACTATTATTGCAGAAATCGTATTTGAATATGACAACAGAAGTGAAAAGAACTAAACATAAACGCAAATGAATGCGAATGCATACACACACATGTACTTGGGCACATGCATGTATATACATACGCGCGAGCACATGCACACACACATGCACACACACTACGCATTCACGAAACACTACTGTGCGTGTGTGTGCATATCTATGAGATGAGCAATTTTGTAACTGTGCATATGTATGTATCTATGTATACCAGTATCGATTAGAACTACCTATGCATGAATGTATGCGCACTAGCAGCAGCACACATGCATACAAATGTAGATATGTATGGATGGAATAACGTAAAATGAGAAAAAATTCGTTTGGTGTGCCGCAATAGTTTTTTTTTTTTTTGTATGTATGAATAGGTATAAACGTACAAATGCATATTGATCTTAGAGATGTACTGATGTTCTGTTATATATGCAAAAGTGCGCAAATACATACACATTTGTCATTCGAGACGGCATGAAATTAAATAGACGCTAGTAAGTGAGTAATCGATCATGAAATACATTTTAATACATATTTTATGTGTGTTTCAATGTATATATACAATTATAAAAACGTTACTATTTCAACTTACATAAACACCACCCGACACAAACTGTTTATTTACCACGTTCCTGCGACTGCGATTCATTTTAACTATATCACTTTTAATTTGACACTCCTGCAGACTATTATGACCTAAAGAAAAATCCTTCTTTTTGGTAAACCTACAACAGCTAAGATACTTATATCGATTGTGCACAGCTGATATCTGTTCATCGCCGATAGCTCGTATCGTACAGCATGTGCGTTATCGGAAATTTCAAATTCATCCACAACTATCGATAGTAAATAATATAAACCCTGATTGGCTGCGATGGGAACAAATTGATAACAAAAATACTCTTATAATAATTGTGTTTATTTGCAACACTTAATGTAATCACTTGTGTGAAGTGAACATGCTGTAATTTATTTTCTTTTGCGCTTGCTCTTAACGGCCTTCGTCTTTGCTTGCGGCTGGTTTTTCTCATGGGTGGCTCTATAAGTGCCATGTAATTTATCCAGCCAGCCCGTAACGCCGTAATTGTAATTGAACCTATTAGGAAAGTACAATGAAGATGATTGAATGAACTTTTACAGTAAAATAGACCTTACTTGGCATGATGGTAGTCGTGGAAACGTACAGATCCGCCTGACCAGGGAAAGCTGTACCCGGTATGATCGCTCATCGAGTTTATGACCGCCAGGGATATAATGCCCCATGCCACGACGACGTGGGTACCCAGCAGAGAGACGGATATGCCCACTGGGAGCAGGTTAGCTAGCACGTGCTCGATGGGGTGGGCATAGAGGGTCATGGCAGCCACGGGCGCTGTCCATTCGTGATGCTTTTTGTGCACGTATTTGTATACGGATCTGTGGTGCATAAGACGATGCACATAGTAAAACATCGTCTCTTCCATGATCACAAAGATGACGAAGTCGCGTATGATGCGACCAAAACTTGGCAGCTGCCGGATATCGGTGATGTTGTTGTGCCTGAGCGACACTTCGTAGAGCAGCCAGGTGGTAAAGAAGTTCACTACAGTTAGGTTAAACGCGACCACCTTGACGGCCTTCCATAGACGGCCCAGATCGACCGGCTCATTCTGCCCCGGCTGTATTTTGTACTTGCGCAGGAATTTTGGACGATTTGTGATGTCCATGATCGTAAACAGGGCAGCATAGATCCAATAGACGAAAAATATAATAATTGTGGTGCCGTACACCCACAGCCGCATCGGATCATCGCCAATGACATCAAGTAACGCTATCCAGCGCGCCTGAAGCGATTCGCCGGCATAGCGCCAGCGCAGAGCAAGGCTGGAGAGGATTGTGGCTGCGTCCATGGCTAAATCTCAACTGCTATGTGCACAGCGCGCCAGATATATGCGTCTTGTACAGGATACTCTACAGTCGAATGGGCATATCAGCTTCATAAGCCACCTTGTGAAGATGGGGGAAAAACTTGGACAAACACTGATGTAATAGAAGGGCTTTGACAGCTATTCGTTATATCAATCTCATTTTATGACCTGCTGCATTTCAACCTGAGAGCTAAAAGGCTTCTAATACTGCCAAAGATATAGATCTAATGACAAAATGTGAATCAACTTGAGCTATACAAGATATAATGCATATAGTCCTCTTAGCTATCGTAAAATTTCCTATCTATATTTCAGATGAATATTCTAGTTGAAATCTTGGATTGAGTCAATTTTCGACAATCATGATATAATGGTTAGCTAACTTTAAAAATATTTTTGCGCCTGTTTTAAATTGTTTGGAATGAAAAAGTTTTGGATTCAGTCAGCCTTGGGTCTAAGCTGATTCAAATTTGTTATTTTGCATACTTTACTTTACTTAAGCTTAGTTTCTCAAATKGTAGGTAGTTTAAAGTGCTTTGTGATTCGCTTTGGAATTGCTTTTTACATTTTCACTGATTAGGTAAAATTGTTATCGTTCTGTCGTAGTTCATTTATAAGAGATTAACTATTGCTAGGTATTATTAAAGTCATAGATTAGTTCTATTTTTAATCAGCGAGAGTACAGCAAATTATTGTGCCAAAGTTCAAAAAATCTTTGTGTGTGGTTCTTTCTTATTTATTTCTTACATTTCTTCATTCTTTTATTTTGCATTAATTTTATGTCTCGTTCGTGCTGAGTGCGAAGTGTACATACATCAATGCTTACTACTAGATCAATTTGTTTTAAAGCTTTTATAACACACATTTACAGCACGTTCTCATTTCGGGTTTTTGTTTGTTTGTTGAATAAATTGATAAATACCAATGTTTTGGTGTCTATAAAAGTAATACCCGATCTGTTGTTCCAGCTTGGCTATTATCACAATATCGTGTGCACATATAGAAATTACTAAAGAACAGAAGAAAACTAAAATATTGCAGCTCCTTATGCCGTATGTGTGTGTGTGTATGTGCGTGTGTGTGTGTGTGTGTAGGAGCAGCTAGTGTACAGAGACGAGCTGTGGGAGGGGCCTGTGGCAGCTCCCGCACATGAGCTCACTTCACTTCATGGTCGAGTCGGGAAAGGCATCACGAGGCGGCACAAAGCTCAGCATCATAATGTGGCGCGCATAGGATTTGGTGGCACGGAACAGCGAATCGGTGCCATGCAAGCGATCCAAGACTCCGAGAACTCCGAAGCAATTGTTAAATCTGAAAGAATATAGATTTGAATAAATATTTAAAAAGTATATAACAAACGTACAAATATTTATAGAATAATTATTAAAATCATATGTGAGCAATATTTTGATGAAATTTCAGCTTTCTTTGGAACTATATA